ACCCTCAGTAGTTACGTTAACAGACATCACCTCAAAGCTGGCAAGCTAAAATCAAAATAGCTGGAATACTGAACTGCATCACGAGGCTGCAGTGATAGAAAGCCACGTGGCATTCTTCTTGTACGAGTTCTTCAAGTTCCTTTACCTTCATGAAAATGAAACGCAACCCACAAATAAAGCACCCACCGCCTCAATAAATCCTTGGACAGATGAGGTGATGTGTAAGATACCTGTTCATTGGGTTTGTTGTTTATTGTTGAGATTGGCATTCCATTTTCCCGACACGTGCTTCAGACAAGTGATGGCTGGTGCGCAGAAAACAAGGTTTGATGAAGCCCTTTCCCGTTAAAATAATTGTGCAGCTTCTTATGCTCAGTTGTATTTGACAAAGTTAACATGAAAGCACCAGTTTCTAATCCTGAAGGGAAACATTTAGCAATGCTAATGTCAGGATGATTAAAATGCCCTATGTAGGGGTGTTGAGTGTTCGTCTTAATTGTTCTATAACGTAAAAATGTGCATGTGTGTGCGATCTTGTGTTGTCGCGTTTCTTCTATGGGATGTGAGCCAAAGTCCGTTCCTTCGACCCTTAGCTGGGCCTAAGGAAAATGGTTTAATTGGCAAGTACTGAGTATCCCAAATCCCAGCCAGCATTGTTATGTTAAGATATACTTGTTTTCCTGTAGGAGTTTATACAAAGAACAGAAATTTCCGGATGTATAAATCATCAAAAGCAGGAAAGAACGTGATTCTGAAGATAGCAGAGGATAATAAGTTTGTCCCTAACTGTGAAGAGAACGTTTCCTTGGAAGAAGCGTATTTTCTTTCCTCATTGATCTGCAACATTGGGTAACTGTTTAATTCTGGTGGAATTTAAAATATTTAAAATGTTTTAAAATAGGTATTTTAGTCATTTCTCTACTGCAGCCATTACAAATAACTACTATCGATGGCCAGTTATTCCGTGAACATTGCTACAGTGTAATTTAGGAGTTTTTGGTAGAATCCCTTGTTTTTGAAGAAAAAATTGACTCCTGTTTTGGAGACCTTATTGAAGACCTTATAGCACCTTCCAGTGCCTGAAGGGGCTACAAGGAAGCTGGGAGGGACTTTTTACAAGGGCCTGTAGTGACAGGACAAGGGGTAACAGGTTTAAATTGAAAGTGGGGAGGTTTAGATTGGATATCGGGAAGAAGTTCTTCCTGGAGAGGGTGGGGAGGCACTGGGACAGGTTGCCCAGAGAAGCTGTGGATGCCCCATCCCTGGAAGTGTTCAAGGCCAGGCGGGATGAGGCTTTGAGCAACCTGGTCTAGTGGAAGGTGTCCCTGCCCATGGCAGGGGGGGTGGAACTGGGTGGTCTTTAAGGTCCCTTCCCGCCCAAACCGTTCTATGAGTCTATGATTTTGGGGTTTGTTTTGGCTTGGTTTTTGACCTGCCCTCAAACAGCTGGCTCCCGGGGTGTTTGCCAGGAACCGAACATTGGCATCCAGAGGAAGAAGCTCTGTCCTCAGTCAAGTCAGAGGAAACCCTCAGAAAGGGAGGAAAGTGCTGCAGGGAGAGCCAGAGGCAGCACAGGGGGGGATCACGGCGAGGCACCTCTGGGGCCGTCTGCCCCAACCCCCGCTCGAGCAGGGCCACTGCCTTGTGTGAGGTCAGGGTACGTCGCACCACGCTACCTTACGCTGGAAGACGCGCACCTTTTCCCTTTGTCTTCTCTCTCCTTCAGAGCTGGGGGTGACATAAAAGTTCTGGCATCTGGCTCCCCAGAGGAGAGAAAAACATCAGCTTCCTTCAGCAGCAGAACTTCCAGAAGCAGCAGAGGTACCTCAAGCCTTTTCTACCACCTTTTCTACCCCAGCTACTCCTGAGTGAGACGTGCTGCGGCCCGCGCGCCCGTAGCCGCCGGGAGAGCCTGCCTTCAGCTGGCCTTCTGCGGGAGGATGCTCCGCAGTGCCCGGGGCCGTTCACCCTCCTCCCTGCTCCCACCGCAGTCACGTTTTGTCCCGGTTCCCTCTGTCCCTGAGGCGGGAGGGGTGGGGGGATGCAGTTTAAAGACCTACAGGCAATCGCCACTGGATCTTTCCCTGGTTTTATCTAAGGATCTGGTGCGAGTCATGTACGTTTTCTGCCTGTGGTCTGTGTGATGTGTAACAGTTAGGGTGACAAACCAGTAACGGTACAGATCCCTGCTCTTTGTTTTGGCAGATTCCACAGAAGGTTATCGGGATTCACCATATCCAGAAATCGATTATTTTGTCTGTTCTTTGATTAATAAAGATGGGGTGCAAGGAGGTAAAGACCACTCTTACTTACAAATTACTATTCCCCAGCTGTATTTTTAAAGAGTTAATTAATTTATGTTTCTGTTCCCCCAGGAATACGGCAATGGAATTATTTCTCTCAGGAAGAATTACTTGTATACG